CTGTGCACCTATCACAGTAGGTACTGTTGTACGGTTTTATAGGTTTATTTTAAGATTGGTTTTGATAATTTGAACCGTTCACATTTTAGAGTACATCGAGTATAATATACTTATAAAAAATTAAGTTAATCGGATATCGTTAACTCTTTCATCCACTCACATTTGTATCTTTAAAAATAAATGACATTACGATTTAAAGTATTAAAATGAATATAAATGTGAGTGGATGAAAGGATTAACGATATCCGATTAACTTAATTTTTTACAAATATATTCTATTCGATGTATTCTAAAATATATATAATTCAAATTATTAAAATAAATCCCGAAATAAATTCATAAAACCGCGCAACAGTGTCAGCAATGCTGGTGCAGTCAAATCCTTTTCGTACTAGCAAAGTCCATCCAATTGTTTTGTCAAACATGGTGGCGGTGGTTGTCTCACTAGTTCTTGAAAATATTTTTATTTAAAAATAAGTAAAAAAAAAAAATTAAAACTAATCATTACTTTTAATTTTCCGTTATGCAAAACAATCAAAAACACAAGAAAGATTTGTAAAAAAATATCTTTTACAGAAAAATCAACTAATGCAGCTTTTTTATTGGCGAATAATGTTAATTCTACTCTTCATATGAACATAGTTGCGATTGGAAATCATCCTAACCCTGAAAATTGTCCCATATTTATATGCCAAATGTATTAGTGTAGTGGAGGTTAAATTAGTGTAGCGTGGAGTTTATATATAAAATATATATGAGCAATCATATATATATATATAGTATTTTGTTTATAATTTAGGTGGTACATTCCAAAGGTTTTTTTTTTTAAAAAAAAAAAAAAGAAGAAGAAGAAGCCACGGATCAAATTAATTTTCTTTTATATTTTTTTTATTTTTTGTCTATCTTTTCGATGTTTTAATATTAATTTTTATTTAAATTTTTATTTAATACGAAATTATTTATTACAAAACATTTATATCTAATTTAAATTTTATATACCTATATACAATATATATGAATAATTTAAAAAGACTATTAAAGAAAAAATCAATATTCTACATAATTAATTTATATATTTTTTTCTTAATCCAATCACAATATATTTATATTTAATTTTTTTAATAAATTTTATGTAATTCTTGTAACAACTCAAATTTTTAATTATTTTTTAAATTTTATATTAATATTATTTAATCATAATGAAAAAAAAATATATACGATTTATGATGTGTGGGTCAAGGTTAAATAAAAAGAATTTGAGGTGAAAATAATAAATACATAAATATAGATATACATACATATATATGCAATGCCTTGTCACCACCTAGCACATGGGGTGATGAATATGCACATATACCTTAGTAAAATCATTATCAAGTGGGACACGGGGAAATGGGCAGCAATGCTACCTGTGAGACAGGTGGCTAAGCTTGAAATTGCCACCAGGCAAAAGCTAATGAAGCCTCACCAACTATAAATAGGTTGCTAGCTTGAGAAACGAAAAACATAAATTACGGTGCGGTAGATTGGTAGCAAAAAAATTAATCGTAAAAAAATTAAGGCTAAGAAAGAATTAATATTACGGTCACCTATATTCTATCTCGAGTTATTATAATATATTTTATGTATATTTTGAGTTAGTATAATTTATTTTACATAATTATATTTTAATTATGTTATTTATTTTATGAACCTTATTTTATATAATAAAAAAAATTCATGGATATAACTGTTTATTAAAATGTATTTTGAGTAATTATTTTATAAGTACCACCACAGAGGTCTCATGTCTTGGGTGACTTAAATAATCATTGGTTTCTATTTTACCACTTTATTGTTTGTTATGGATCCATTGACCCCTGTTTTAATTGTCACTCCGGTGACCCCTGTTCTGTTCTGTTCTGTTCTGTGTTATACCGTGGTTATGATTATTTGCTTATATGATTTCCGCATTCTACTTCTGTTAATTTAAAATTAATTATGTATTTCAGTTGCCAAACTAATCTCTGTTTAGCCCCATAATTATCCATGGTGAATTTTATGCCCTTATGCTTTCAGTATAATATTTCTCACTCTGTCATGTGCTTATAATTGTTTACCACTTTCAGGCGACATGTCAGGGCTAACGTGTGGGGTAGGTACAAAGCACTTCGTAGACATTGTTCAACTTTGACAATTTAATTAAATAAAAGCTCTAATGATTATTTTGGTACCCTTACTTAAATATTATTTTCACTTGCGTTTATTAATTTGTTCAAGAATTAGCCGTAGGTAATTTCAGTTACTGCCTATCACGATACTTAATCCTTGAGTACGGAGAGTGGGTTGTGACAGTTTTATTTCTACATATTTTTATTATTCAAATAAATATAAAAATAAAAATAAATAATTAGAATCATTTTTAGTTTTATATTACTAATTCTCTTTCTAATTCAACTATTATTTTTAATATCAAAATGAGTGTTTATTTTGTATCTTATAATTTAATATATATATATATATATATATCAGTAATGCTACAGAGCCCGAGGTACTCATTCTTAATTTGGCTCGAAATTAGGTATTTATTACAAAACATTTATATTTAATTTAAATTTTATATACTATTGTATGTATGAATAATTCAAAAAGAATATTAAAGAAAAAATCATTACTCTACATAATTAATTTATGTATTTTCTTCTTAATCTAAACACAACATCTTAATATTTACTCTTTTAAATAAATTTTGTATAGTTCTATTTCTACATATTTTTATTATCCAAATAAATATAAATATAAAAATAAAAGTAAAATTAAATAATTAGAATCACTTTTAGTTTTATATTATTAATTCTCATTCTAATTTAACTATTACTTTTAATATCAAAATGAGTGTTTATTGTATTATCTTATAATTTAATGTATATCATATAAAATCATTATATGATAATTACATTTTTATAGCACATAGAACTAAAATTATCAAAACCAACAAAAAATTTAACTAAATTTATTATATATAAGTATTCAAGTAACACTTTTTATAGAACAGCAAGACTAAAATTATTAAAATAAATAATTAAATTTAAATTTTATTTTAAATTAAAATTAATATTATTCTTTTGCAACATATATTGTAATATAAAATATCATTACATTAATTAAAGTTAACTCTATTGTGATTTTATGTCTAACATCATATTTCTAGGAGTGATTTACATACACGTGTAATGTCCAATTTGATATTGATTGATTAAAATAATGAACTAAATACTTTTTTATTAAGTTTTTAGAAGATAAATTGACAAATGCCAAATGATAAATACTGTGAAGTATTATTTTAAAGAATAATGATTCATCGAAAATGATTGTATATATTTAAGGGACCTATTGATATTTCTTAAATAATTTTTAAATAAAATTTTTGAATTTATAGTATTACTAATAATGCACCTTCATGAGCTGTGCTAGAAAATATATGCAAAAATAATTTGGCTAGAATAATAAATTTGCGGTTATTATAATGTGTCACATAAATAATCAGAACTCCTTTAAGAACTGAAATTATTAAGGTTATAGAGATTTTGTGTCTGATTCCCTTTAAAGACACTATTTATGATTTGAATTGTAACTTTTATACATCAATGTGAATAACTCTTATGATTTTATTAATACAAACATAAATCTTACATTTGAGTCAATCCACATTTAAGCATTTTTTGGTATAATAAAATATTTAAATATTGTCATATAAAAATATTATAATAGATCATAATCAAACAATATTTGAAGTATAATTAATAACCCGATGCACCACTTTAGATATAACAAAATATATAAAAAAAATTAGCAAAGAGTTTTTCAATTAATAACCAAAATAATACATGATGAGATTATTTATTTATTTTAGCAATATATATATATTTGATACAAGTGGAATTCATGACTTTTAATAAATTTGATTAACATAAATGAATATTTGATTTCAAGTTGAGAACACATCTTTTTTTTAAAACTTGGAAAGAAATTATTTTTATGAGCCTTTTACATAGAGTTACACACAGTGATAAAAATTTTCATCAACCATTAACAAATATATTTGCATTTAACTTTCAATTATTAAAATTTTCTAAACATAAAATATTAAGCCTCAAAATTAATTTTTTATTTTAAAAATAAATTCTCACAAGTCACCTACTCCGTAATTATTGAATAAAAATCTATCACCACTACTTAATTATTGAATAAAATTCTATCACCACACAGGATGTACTGCTATAGATTACATTGCTTACAGATCACTTCATCTTGATAACTATTGACAACAGAGAATGGTGTCCCAAAGAGATGAGGAACAAAATTGAATGCTTACAAGTGCACAAACTTTAAATATTAAAATATGTATGCTCATGCACGGGCTTTTAAGCTTCTTCTTGTTTCTAAATTTTTTTTCTCGGTTCGAATGTCTCAAAACAACGTCGTTTTGGACGTAAAATAAATTTTTTATTTTAAAAATAAATTCTCACAAGTCACCTACTACGTAATTATTGAATAAAAATCTATCACCACTACTTAATTATTGAATAAAATTCTATCACCACACAGGATGTACTGCTATAGATTACATTGCTTACAGATCACTTCATCTTGATAACTATTGACAACAGAGAATGGTGTCCCAAAGAGATGAGGAACAAAATTAAATGCTTACAAGTGTACAAACTTTAAATATTAAAATATGTATGCTCATGCACGGGCTTTTAAGCTTCTTGTTTCTAAAAAATTTTTCCCGGCTCGAATGTCTCAAAACGACGTCGTTTTGAATGCAAAACGACGTCGTTTTGACACATTTAAACCATTCGAACCACATAAATTCGGATCACCTAGCATTTTTCAAACTTTTTTAAGAAATAGACATGAGAATATATATATATATATCAAGCTCTCTACTGCCCTGTCTCCGAAGTAACACACAAATATCCATATACATATAGAGAAGAAATAATGTAAACGATGACTAAATGCAAATAAAGACTACTTAAAACCTTTCTCAACCTTCTCCGATATCATGTGAGATCACAAATTATTCTAAAAACTTGAGTTGTTAAAAAATGAGCAACAATAATTATCAAGCTCTGAACAACAATTTATATCATGCTCAGAGTCAGTTATCTACCAATTACTAATCTCTCATGAATTCAACCATTAGACAAAACTAAACTAAAAAATTAATTCAGTGCTTTCCTAATGTCTATCTCTTTCAACAAATTCAGAGTTTGTTCTCTCTTCTCCATTGCTCATTTCAAGGCTTCTTTCATCTCCATTCCCTGAACCTGAGCATTGTTGGCTGATCCAAGATTCTTCACTAGTCCGGTGCCCAATTTGATGAGATTGTGTTTCATCACCTGCAGCCACAGGGGGATGATATCTACTACTAGTTTCTGGGACATCTAATGGTTCGGTTGAAGCTTTAGCAGAAGCAATGAGGGAAAGGCGGCAGAGTGGGCAGGTGGTGTGAGTGGCTAGCCAGAGGTCGATGCAATCCGTGTGAAAAGTATGCCCACAAGCTGGTATCTGTTGCAGCCTGTCCTCTGCTTGGTAGTCTGCCAGGCATACTGAGCATCTGTAACAAAAGGACGGTGCCTCGTTAGATTAGAGGAAAGTTAAATTTAGAGGCTCCAATGATGATGATAAGAATTGGAATTGTAATATCCAGTAATGTTAATGCAACTAGGAGGAGAAAAATGAAATATCAACTTCAAAGAGAGATAAACCATGACTCTAGAGCAAATCAGAGCCAATTGAAATAATTGTTCAGTCCAACTTGTCTGCCTCTTCAATTTTTCCTTTCACATAGATAGATAAATCTAATGCACTAGCATTCGCCACAAAGATGACAACTAGCTTCAAGCCATGCAGTGAAGTCTAGTAATATTTGTGGGATAGACTGATCAACTAAAAACTACATACCAATGTTTTGAAAACCGGACCGGTGAGCGAACCAAAAAAAGAACCGGGTGGCCAGGTCAATGAACTGTTGGGTCGAAGTGGTCGAACCGTGACGTCATAATTAATATTAAATAATTTAAAAATATAATTATAAATTATAAATAAATAAAAATATATACAAGTACTGAAATAAAAATAAAAAGATTTACTAATAATATTTAATAAAGTCATAATTGATTAAAAAAAAGACTAGTTTTAAAGAAATTAAAAAAATTTAACATTCCCTCCAAACAAATTGATTGAATGCTAGATTTAATTTTGGAAGAAAATGAAATTTTCAACTCTCCCTCCAATCAAATATGATTCAAACAATTTGATTGAATCCCACATTGAATTTTTAGGTTCTCTTTGAACAATCTTTTCCTATAAATAGGAATAGACTTTCATAATTTCTTCAAGTTTCCAATGAGCTTTAAATCAAAATTTTGATACATATATATATATATATATATAAGAAAGAAAGAAAGAAAGAAAGAGAAGAAAAATAAAATAAAAAAATTCAACCACCAGGTTGGTTGAAAATTGGGACCGGTTCGTCGGTTTTACCGGTTGAACCACCAATTTTCCCGGTTCTTACAAACAAGGCCGGTTTTTGTGGATTATCCGAACCGGAACTAGGTCCGGCCACCGGTTGAACCGCCCAGTCCAATCTAGCTCTTAAAACATTGCTACACACTTCTAAGAAAGTGATGTCTCTGTGTCGTGTTTGTGTAGGACATGTGGACACCGTCACACTAACACTCATTGAACACTTCCCAACATATGTGGTGGACACACAAAATATGTAGTTTTATACATTTGTTATACGTTATGTATATTAATATTTCATTCAAAGATTTTAAACAAAATGCAACATAAAACTAATTTTCAATGTTTAAAGGATGAGTGATTAATGGGTATAATCTACAATTTTTATTTTATTTATTTATTTAGTATTATTATTTTTATTTTATTGTGGTATCCTCTATAAGTTATTTTGTTTAAACTTATAATGTGTTTCGTATGTCTTTAAGATACGAACACGTGTGTTCTACAAAGCATGTCCCGGTCTTAAAAAAATTATATATTGTGTTGAGGTGCCTACGTCAGAGCTTCTTAAGTAATAAGTGACAATAAAGTTCAACAACAAAATCTAATACTGGTAACTGATAATTTAACTTGATAAGCTGAATTACTCTTAATAGAAGAAAAACACACACACAAAAAAAAAAAAACTATGCCTGGAAATTCCAGCAAATAGAAATCACAGGATATCCCTCGTGGTGGAAGTTTTTCCCTGCCACAATTTCCCAAAATGGGGTTTTCATTTGAAATTTTTGATATAATTGCCAATGATGATATCAAATAGGATGATCTAGTATGCTATGGTGAAATCATATAGTCAACCATAACATTTGACGAAATGGAAACACCCGAAAAGTCACTACAACTGATACTAACCTTGAATGGCAAGACTTAGGTACAAGTAATGCTAACCTTAAATGGCAATACTTATTTAATCTTAAGATTATGCATGGAATGGTGTGCAATCATGCACATCATCAAGGATGAAAACAAAATGGGCCAATATCAGCTTTTCGTTGTTAAGGAGTTGTAATGTTTCATTACTCATGGTTTTCTAGATTGTCCAATGCTATAGTTTTCTCTTACATAATCAGACATGCTCCCTTCGAAATGGTCCGCATCATATCAATCAAGTGAGAAACTTCATCTGTAAGTTTTCTAAAGAATCTGTATATTCAATTGTAAATGAAATACAAGAGTACATCGGTTTATATAACAATCTAACCCTAAGACTAAAATAGAAAGTAGAATATTTATTCAACCCCTAACATATACAAAATACAAATACTACCATATATACATAAATTCTAATATTTTCACAATATTCTTATACCGTTGCTCAAACTCAGGGTGTTTTAACAGAAAACACTGAGAGTTTGCCAAGAAGAAATTGAAACCGAGCAGTGATGTGAGTCTTGATAAAGATGTCAGCAAATTGCAAAGCCGACGAGACGAAAGGAAGCAAAATAAAGCCAGACTGCAGATGCTGATGGACAAAATCTCAATGTGCTTCGTCTGCTTATGGAAGACAGTGTTATGGGCAATCTGAATAACGCTATGGTTGTCACAGTAGAGAGAGGTCGGAGAAGACTGATGGACACCCAAATCAGACAAGAGATAGCGAAGCCAAACAATCTCAGCAGTAGCATGAGTTATAGCACGATACTCAGCTTTGGCAATAGAGTAGGCAACAACAGTTCATTTCTTGCTTTTTCCAAAAGATCAAAAATTACCAAGAAACATACAAAAACCAGGCTTGGATTTGCGATCAGTAACATCATCAACCCAATCACAATCAGCATAGGCCACCAAGTTCAAAAAGGAAATAGAGGACAACAGTAAGCCTTGAAATATAGTTCCCCTAAGATAGCGAAAAATGTAAACCAAAGTAGCCCAATGTGTAGAACAAGGAGCAGAAATAAACTGACTAACCACATGAACAGCATAGGCAAGATCAGGACAAATGACAGTTAGATATACTAAACAACCCATAAGCTCTCGATATAAAGTAGGATCATCTAGAGAGACATCATCAGTAGTGGTAAGCTTTACATTAAGCTCAATGGGAGTATCAAAAATCTTAGTGTTAGTAAGACAAGCACGGTGAATAATTTTATTGACATACTTGGCCTGAGCCAGAAAGCAACCCTTGGGAGAAGAAACTACTTCAATACCAAGAAAATATCGCAATACGCCCAGATCTTTCATTTCGAAGGTGAGGAAGAGATGCTGCTTGACCTCAAAGATAGCAAAAAAGTCAGTCAGTGATAATCATGTCATCCATATACAGTAACAAGGCAACAAAACCAGCAGAGGTGTGGAAGAAAAACGAAGCAAAATCCTGGGCACAATGATGAAACCTAAGTTAAGTAACAACTGTTTGAAAGCAATCACACCAAACACGAAGAGATTGCTTCAAACCATACAAAGCACGTCGAAGACGACAAACTTATCCAGAGAAATGGGGAAGACTAGGGGGAGGACGTATGTAAACCTCCTCAGTGAGATGGTCATTAAGAAAAGCATTTTTAACATCCATCTGATAAAGAGGCCAATAATGAACAATACTGACAGGAATCAAAATACGGACATTAGTCATTTTGGTAATAGGGACCAAGGTATCTTCATAGTCAATACCATACTCCTATGAGAAACCTTTAGCAATCAGGTGAGTTTTGTAGAGCTCGAGAGAACCATCAGAATGAGTCTTGAGTTTATAGAGCCATTTGCAACCCACCAAATTCTTGCTTGCAGGCAAAGGAATAAGCTCCCAAGTAGTAGTCTTTTGCAATCCAAACAATTCATGCTCCATAACTCGAACCCAAATAGGATCCTAACAGGCCACCTTGTAAGACTAAGGTTCTGAAAAAGAGTGAATAACAGACAAAAACGTGCAATATAAAGGAGAATATCATGTTTTGGCAAAATCAAGTTTGACTACCTGTTTACGGATGCGAAGAGGATACTTACGGTCAACAAGATCAAAGTCAACCGATGGAGGAAGAGCCTTGCGACGAGAATAGACTAACAACGGAGGAGGAGAGGGGGGGGGGGAAGAGGAGGAGAAGAGGGAACAAACTCATGGGAGACAGTGGAGACCTATGAAGCACGGACACCTCTTCGAGGGCTCTGTGCCAGTGTCGGACACATGTAAGACACGGACACGCGGTGGACACGTGTTTGACACGCACCAGAGAGTGTCCTATTTTTTCCTATTTTTTTTTTATTTTTTTTGTTAGCCGGACATGTTCCGACACTTGCGGGACACGTTCGAGGTCAATTTCAGAATTTATAAAACATCTTTGAGGTCGATTTGTAAAAAAACAAAAATAGAACAATCTACCCTAAATCGAGTTAGAAGAGAAAGAGAGAAAAAAGAGAATAGAAAAGAGAAAGAGAAGATGAAGAGAACGGAAGAGAAAGAGAAACCTGGTCGATTTTCGGTGGTCGGTCGTCACTCCTCGTCTGTCGCTCGTCGCTCATAGCTCATTATCTAAGGTACACCTTCTTCTATCCCCTTCGTCCTTCTTCTGCTTCGATCTTCTTCGTTCTTCTTCTGCTTTGATTTTCTTCTTCTTTTTCTCCGATCTTCTCTCTGTCTTAGTCGCTCTCTCTCTCTCTCTGACTCAGTCAGCCTCTCTCTGTCTCATTTTGTTTTTTCTTTTCTTTTATTTTTTCGTTTATATATATGTTGAGTAGTGTAGTTTGTCTCTCTTTCTCTGTCTTTTTTTTTCCCCCCCTAATTTCATTTTATATTTTCTTCTCTCTATGCCTCTATCATTTCAGTATATAATTTTTTTTGTTGTTGATTAGTTTTGTTAATGATATATATGATGTTAAATCAATTAAATGTTTATTTTTTTTATAATTTTAGTAGTGTTATTTTGTATTTTTTATTAACTTTTAATGATTCTTTTAGTAATTTTATGATATATAATAAATAAAATTAATTATATATATTGAATGTGTCCCCAGCGTGTCGTGTTCCCCATTTTTTGAAAATTTGCGTGTCTGCGTGTCCATGTCGTGTCGCGTGTCCGTGTTCGTGCT